TTCTTCTACCTGTGTAACTGGTTGCACTGAACTAGTGCTGCCTACACTAGATAGCAAAAAATCTAATCCAGCTCTACCGAACACTTCTGGTCCACTGGACAATGTTGAGGATCTGCATACATGTCTACCCTTGTAAAGTATCACCGGCACTGGAAATCTTGAACGACATCTGGCAAATCTTGAACGTGTCATCAGTTTAATGAGCTTATTCCTCTTGATGAGCATATTTTCCAATACATATGGCGATGCCAATGATGTATCGCAGTTTTTCAAATTTCGAAACTTGTCATGTTCTAATATTATAAGATAGCTTGGGTAATGGGCGCAAAGATCACCTCCATTGTTATCAATTGTAGAATATTCATAATCAAAGGCCGCAAGCAACATGCACCTCTGCATGATTTCCTGATTCTGTAAAAAGATACATAGTTTATTAATTTTACAAAAAGTTTAATGTCTGTATGTTTAATTATAAAATATATTTATGAAACAACTACCGTGACATCTGCATCCTTGGTTCTGTAGGTGTTCTTTGCAAAGTGTGTGATGAGATTTCGTAGACTATCTATACTAATCTCAGTCATGATTTGTTGTAGACACGCTTGCTCACTTGCTGTAGAAATGTGCTCAAAACAGCTTTCCAAGGAGGCACTAGATTCACAAGGCATTAGTTGCCAGTATCTTGCATGACAAAAACACGACACAAAACACTGAATTTAAGGTATATGCACATCGCATTGCCAGGTAACATTTATCGAATTCTTTTCGTCACAATCCATCTTCAAATGTCGACAACACGATCTTCCATGCATGCACAATCGAACATATTATTTCTGTAGATACAATAATTTTACCTGTTATAATATACAGCTGTTGAAAGATAAAATTTGTTTATTCAAGAGAATTCCTATTGCATTTATATCTATGATCTTCTCTTTGTATCTTCAGTTATTAAAGCATCTAGAAACTTTAGGAAAAAAATAATACAAAAAGCTTTCAAAATAAACTCTAGACCAGAAAAATTATGCGTATTATTTACCCAATGAATATTTATTGCTTTTTAAAACAATGAAAAATCAGGGAATGAAAAAAAAAAATTAATCTTTTTAAAAATTATTATATTAAATTTGTGAATGAATCTTGTGTTCCTCAAAAAGGAGTACTTGCTCCATCAAGAATAGGGCGTAAGATTAATTCTTTCTCATGACACGAGTCTTTCCTGCAAACAATAGGTCTGTTTTCTATAAACTAACACTGTTTTCTATAAACATATATACTTTTAAAACTAAAAATAAAATAGATATATGTTTGATATTTGGTAAATACAAGAAAAAAATTTCTAAAGCAGGGATAAAAGACAGATCTATTGAAAAGCATGTATAACCTATCAACACCACCACATGTGCCATCGGTATCACTGAAAAACATACGGCGTTGTAAATTCTCACTACGTAGAGACGGACGCTATGACGTGTCGTTAAGATTACTGTATGGTCCGCGTGTCTCTGCAGCAATGGGAGATAGGTTTCCAGAATTCTGATAACTCGGAGAAAATCTGCGACACGAGTGCACGAGTGTCCGCGAGCATTTTTGAATCGGAAATTGCAGTTTCAGCTCAGAAATACCCGTAAATACTCGCATGCTCCTCCCCCGCGCTCTCGGGAAACAAAGAGACTCGTCCTTGGCACGCACGTTTCGGCACGTTTGAATTGGTTTGAATAGTCAAACGGACGAACTGTCCAAAATGTGATTATCACGCGGTCACCCTATCGCAGTCACGTTCCCGACTTCCCGTACTTTTAAGGTTATCTTCGAAACCGTGGTGATGGTAAGGTAATTCTCCGATGGGGAGGGGGAATCGGTTACAACGCCACCTACTGCAGACCTATTAAGCTGGAAACACAATAGACACAGGCAATAGGCACAGGCAACAGGGAATAACGAGCCGTCCAATCAGAGCTCTGGGTTGCGTTCAGGAATTACACCCAGATAACTCTAAGCTATAAGTTACGTTACGTATATTATAATAAAAATGCACCCTAGAGTTATCTAGGCGTAATTCCTGAACTCAGCCTTGAGGTATAAGTTCGATTGTTACGTCTCGAGGTTCGACCGTCGGTAATTAATGCCTGGACAAACCTGGGACCAGTAGCGAGTACAAGATTACGCGATTGTTATCGGCAAAGATAAGGGGATGGAAGATTTGTCCAGTTTTAACCACTAAAATGAATTAAAAGGGGGTGCTCGACACGGCGAGTATAGTCGAATCTTGAGATATCCAGGGAGTATCTCCCGCTCTATTTAGAAAAAGAGTGAATTCTTCTAGGACTTCCGGGCAATCGCGACAATTTGAGATGTGGCGGACAGTAGCCAAGGACACCTAACATACACTACAAATTTCGAATCTTTCGGCAAATCCTAGGTGGATGTAGTGCCGTAATGTCCCTAAATACTTAAGCGGGGAGCCCAAACTCTTGTATAACGCATAACACGTAATGCATAAAAAAATGTGCCAATCGAAGTTCTTCATTTCCTTCCTTTCTATAAAATAAAGGACTCTGATTGGTTCAATTTCTTATGCTTCATGTGTTATGCGTTATGCAAGATCTGTGCTCCCCGCTATAGCCTTCTCGGCGGCCGGTAATAGGGTGTAACACTTGTTATCATCAGCTTCCTTATTAAGGCCAGTCTACAATACACGGAGTAAGAAGTAAGGCCGGTA